ACAAAGTTTAAAAGTTAAATTCATGTGTTGAAATTGTGCAGGACGACTTTGAATAGGGAATTAAGTTACCCTCAAAACACTAGGCGTAACATTTGGCTAAGTCGTAAGTAACATTAGGTGGAGGTCCGTCTCTATTTGCCCAGGTTTACAGCTTTGGACTCCGGGAATAAGGTTCATATAAAGAGATGTTAACAAGGAAATCAGATTTGAGATTTTAAAGATTGACAACGTAAAGGGCAATTAGTATTTTGGCCCGGTTATTAATTTCTTGACGATATGTGGGTGGAATCACAGTGTCGGGGGAATTCCATGGCATGATGATTAAAGAAAAAAATGTTGAGTTAATGAATTGAAGTATTTAGAATATATATTACTATAAATTTTAACTTTAGTATTTCTGGGAAAGTAATACAGGTTTTAGGAGAGGGGTTACAACGTTTGAGAATTGGGATTTGGAAAAGAATTGTTTTACTGACCCACTCATTTTGAGTTTTGCGCCCCTCCAGGTTCAGGGATCACAAAGGTGTGGTGACGTACGAGGAATTCGACGGTGTTCTGACTTAGATGGACAAAAGTAGACTCACCTTCGGGTAATATGTATTATAACCATTGTGGGTATCAATTAAAGGGTCACTGTGTAAAGCAATGGGGACGCCACTATCACTGTGACTAAAGCGCATTGACAATTACAATGGGAGAGGGGGAAACCCGTTGAAACTTAACCACAGATGCACGTTTGTGTGCTAGTTATATATAAGGGAGGGAGGGAGTGTAGTAGGAACCTCATAAATAAGTTTATAATAATATGGTTCAAATAACATATTACAGAGTTAACATTGTTGATGCAAAAATAGTAAATTTAAAAGGTACAATTCTTAAGTAAGTGGTCCTCTATTCCAGTGGTGAAAATAAGCATTAACAGATTTATTGTTTGACAAAAAAAAAATTGCAATTCTTGATAGAAAATCAATGGGGGGATTATCAATATTGGACGTGTACTTAAGAGGGAGGGAGGGGCAGACGGACGACAGAGGGAGCTAGGGAGAGAGAAATAAGGAGAGAGGCCCAATTATGGACAAAGTTGCAGGTTTGAAACAAAGGGAATCGGGTTTCCTGGAAGCCATGGCAAAGCGGTGGGGAGAGGGGTACTTTATAGAGGAGGAGATGGTTGGTTGCTATAGATTTTTTTTTTTTTTTTTTTTTTTCACAAAAGTTCTTTATGTATTTTTCATTTTTCTTGCGTAGCTAGTTCTAAGGTTAAATTTATCTTTAATAATTTCTTTTAGATGAAATCTGATTAAAAGGGGTTATGTGAAAGAGCATTAAAGCATGAGAAGGTGTTAGTTTAATGTAAACTAGCATTTGCCTACACACTTTGTGTGTATGTTTACACATTTTTTTGTAGAAGAGAGAGAGAGAGAGAGAGAGAGAGAGAGAAGAGAGAGAGGTAAAAGTTTTTAAGTTTTTTGAGATTAATATCATTAGGAGGCCTAAAAACAATAAAATTTGAACTTGTGAAATTACATTACTGCCTATCATTTTTTTGTGTGATAGAAAATTAAGTTGTCTTTTCACTCTCTTTTGGTTGACAAAGAGAGTTTCAATAATTAGTAGAGATAACACCTTATGTATGAAAAAAAATATCACTATTTGACTTTAATGAGAAATGGATGGTCTTTTGGTGGGGCATGTTAAATTTGTTAGTTGGTACTTGGTAGGGTGTTTTTTTTTTTAAAGAGGTCGTGGTTCGAGTATGATGGTAACTCAAATAGTTGGTACTTAGAGAAAATGTTGGAATTTGAATAAGTACTAACAACATAAGATTTGTACTTTGTTTAGGGTCTAATTTATGCACGTTTGGTATTTTTTTTCTTTTTTTCATAAAAAAACGGCTTCATTTTAAATTAAGCAATAAAAAATGTTTGATAAAAATAAAATATCTTATTTATTTTTAAACCAATTGCTTTTAGACAGTTGTTTTTACAAATAGGATGTACATTGCTTTTAAAAGCTAATTTTATAAAAAGTGGAGTTGAGCTTTCAATTAATATTTTCAATTCCAGTAACACCTAAATTAATTTTTAAAACTGACATTATTTATCCTTCTACATACATTTTTTCTCTTGGAAAACAAAGTCACCGCCACTACTTACTACTACAACTACTACCTTACATCAACTCCGTCATTACCACCACAATCGTTGTGATCCATGCATACTAGAAATTTCTCAAATCTTAAAGGGTGATATGTTCCCAAAGGCTTTGGCTAGCTAGAATTTCTCTTATTCAATTTAATTGTCAATTACGATGCATTCCATGTTTTAGTACTCATCGACATGGTGGACACATCCAATGGACCGACTAACCGGACACCTTTTTTGGGCTTCATTGGTCCAAATCTGCTGGCTGGGTTTACTTTTGGGTCGAAAAAGTGGATCGACTTTCGGTGTGTACCACAGCCGGCCCAACTACTAAAAATTTTGGTTGATAGTTTTTTGCCATTTTAGTCTTGTTATTTTTTTCGGACAAAGAGTTTTTTGTTTCCTAATATATTAAGCAAGGGGTTTTAGAAAATTTAGCCACTTGTTTTACGATTTTATCCTTATTTTCTTAGGAACTTTAACGAAAAACTTCTGGTACTGTTCACTTTAACGAAAAATCATATTTTTACACTAAAAAGTCAATCCTGGTAGTGTTTATTTTACTCTTTATTTTGTCCTTATCTTTAAAACTCAAAGTTTTCAAGCAATTTTCATTAGTTTTCCTTATTTTCTTTTGTTTTGTTTTATAACTTTTATATGTTCAATTAGCATCTCCTAAATTGTATAAAACTTGCAAAATACTTGAATTATTTATAGATCTTCAGTTACCTACCATATATTTCTTAAAAGGGGGAACTGCTAATTTAATTCCTGAATTATCATCTCAGTGAAAATTAGATCCCTAAACTATTTTTTTTCAAAAAAATCAGTACTTAAATTATAAAAATTTGCCAATTACATCCTTAATATTATATTTGAAGCACTATATTCAATTTTCTATCAATTTAAGTCACGTTACTTGTATCAATTGTATGTGATTCACATTGGAAGGTAGATTGATAGTTTTTCATAAAGAAATAGTGTATGGAGTTAACTTTGGAGGGTAAATTGGTGGTTTTTCATAAGATGGGGATAATTTAGCCATCATATTCGCAACCTATATGAAATGTTAAGGGCTTGTAGATGAGAAAATGACGGTATTAAACTCTAAAGTATGTCAAATAACTTAAGTTGACGAAAAATTACATAAAATAGCTTTGAATATAATAGCATGGACGAAATTAGCAATTTTTAAAGAATTTAGGGACTTATTTTACCGAAAAAGTAATTCAGATACCTAATTTTCACTAGTAGTTCAGCAACTAAATCGACACTTCACCCTTCTTAAAAAGTTGCATTTTTGTTCTTCACTCTTTACAGCATCTGCACCTATTAGTGGAAGGCAAAGGCAATAAAATTGCTTTCACTATTTACTCTAAACAATAATTGCCCTTGTGCAGGTCCACCTGTTTGGAAGGAGGAAGGGCATAGGCAATTGCTATTATTCACAAATATTTTTTTATTATGCTTTTAATGTTTTATTCATCTAACGGAATGACAGCATGTCATTCCGAATGAGACCAAACAAATCAGACCAAGACTTCCCTTCAAAAAATTGTTGCCTATGTTAATAACTTTGACACTTTCCAATGATACGTGGAGAAGCTGGCGAAAGTGCATCCAATTAATAGCTCCTAATAGGCCTCTGTCCATGTAAATCCAAAATGGAAAACATTGATGACATTAAGGAAAAATAATGTATACGTCTTGCGCTTTTAACTTCGATCCAAAACTCGTGTACAAACTCACTACTTAGCATGGAAATTCTTTTATCTAGATCAAAACTTGTATCTGCATGTATTTTCCCTAGCCACTCAATCAACAGTTGGTCGAAGTGTTCGTACATGATGCCTTAAAAGTCGATCACAGTTCTGGTTTGAAAATGACTGAGTGGTGAAAAGACTTTGCTGTTGGCATAATACTGGTTCCTAAACTCGTTGAATCCACTTATCGGACAGTTTCGATGTATGGTGGAAAATACGATCACCCAAGTCTTTCTTGTCATTATGAAATACGAGAAATATCTCTTGAATAATTAGAATTTTCACCACCATAGTTGGCTGGAATTGAGACTGAGTTGCTGTTGAAGTCCCCACAAATGAGCTCTTACCAAGCCACTTGCACCAATTAAGACATCGGTGTAAGGGTTTTAGTCGCGCTATTTGCAAATTCCATTAAAGGCCTCTAATTGGGCATTCATATCCTTTACACAACCATTAATTTAACATTCAGTGACTAATTGTTAATAAATCAATGATCATGAAAAGAAGAAAATGGATTGCAAAGTCAAATCTTGTTTCATAGATAAAAATAAAGAACATTACAAAGTTTTCAAGACGGTTAGATTACATGAAATGAATGCATCTTGTCAAACATTTATTATAGAGTTACAAGATTCTCGACCATTCATATAGTGCTACGTGTCATTATTCATTAGTAATATCCTCTCAGATTTTTGATAAGATTCTCGATATAATACCACTTTGCTTTCACTATTTACTCTAAACTGTAATTGCTTTTGTGCAGGTCCACCTGTTTGGAAGGAGGAAGGGCATAGGCGATCGCTATTATTCACAATTTTTTTTTATTCTTTTAATGTTTTATTCATCTTATCCTCTACATGTCATTATTGCCGTAGATTTTGTTAAATTATCGACCATTTATATAGTGCCACGTATTATTATCCATTAGTAATATCCTCTCAAATTTTTTATAAGATTCTCGACCATTCATATAATACCATAAGATTCTCGATCATTCATGTAATACCACGTGTCATTATCTATTAGTAATATCTGTTAAGATTTTTAGTATGATTCTTTACCATTTATAAATTATATATTGGCATGTGTTATTATCCAACCATTTTCTCAGTTTTCTTTGTATAAACCCTTCAAACCACCATATATACTCACACCAAGCCTCTCCGTCCTCCCTCCCTACTCATATCAGTTCATAAATTTTTACAAAACAAAGTTCTTTCAACCAATAGATAACCTAAGGAGGTTGCAAGAGAAAGAGGAGGGAAAAGATAAACAACTAAGAAGGAGACATACCCAACACCGAAGGCGTAGGAGAAGCATCAAGAAATTGAGTAAGCTTTCTTTTTCTTGTTCTTCTTTAACCTGAAATTGAATGCAGATTCTTGTGTTTTAGTGGCGGAAATTCCTTAGCTTGCTTGATTCGGTGCCGAAACTCTGGCGTCTAACTGTGAGGAAGTAGGTGGTAATATTACGGTCGAGTCGACTCATTGTTTAACTCAGTCAACAAAGGCGAGTGTTGCCGTTTTCTCTTCTTTTTGCCCAACGAAAGTATAATTACGCCACAGGAAACCGAATTATAAAAAGGAAATGTGTGTAATTTTTCTTACATTGGGGATAATCGATTGATTGGTGATGTGGGTAGAATTATTGAGTTATTAATATTAGTTTTTCAATTAAATTCCAAAATTTATATCATCATTCATGTGCGGCTTACAAGCCCATGTTTCTGCTAAAAGATAATAAATTTTTTAATTAGTGCACTGCAAATTTCCAAAATGATTAGGTTAAAGATTTATCCACTGATTATTGGGTATTTTTCGGTATAAAGAGAGGTGAATTGGGGAGGGGATTTTATCATTTTGTAGTTTTTTAGTTATGCTATTATCTGGAAAAATATTTGCTAATCCTCTTCATCACAGGAGCAATGAGCAAATAGTTACAGTTCATTTATGTTTACATTTATGGTGACTATTGGTGTGAATCATGTATAATAGTTCTTCTAACACTAACAGTGTGGAAGGTTGGGGAAGATGGAATTGAGGCAAGAACCAATCTTCTGACGGAATTGAAGCATTGACACGGAGAGGAAGGTATAACAATTTGTGTATCTCTTAAACTGAAATTGAAATTAAGCTAAAGATAACACGTTGTGCTGGGACAATTGTGTGTCTTTGTTTCTTTTGCTCCATTGCTTTGTGTTTCTTTTAAACTGGTTTCCATAAATGTAGCCCAAAAGATAACTGTTGTTGAATCATATTAGACATGAAAATCTAATTTGGAAATAATATAGTTGTTCTGTTTTTCGTTGCCTCCTTGACATATTCAATTTTCATTGTCAGTTTGTTTTTCGCTTCTTTAAAATTAGATATTTATAGATACGCTTCTTATAAGTCCATAATATAAGTTTGACAAAATATATTCTTTTCTTGTAATCATATGGTATGAGCAATTTTGAAATGTTATTCTTTATTTTGTAATTTATAATCCATTTTTGGTTAACAATTAACAATTAATCACTAAATGTAAATTAATGGTTGTGTATAGGATATGAATGCCAGTTAGATACATTTAATAAAATTTTCCAAATGGCGCGACTAAAACCCTTACCCCATTGTCTTAATTGGTGCAACACGCTTGGTATGAGGTCACTTGTGGGGATTTCAACAACAACATGGTCTCAATTCTAGCAAACTACGGTGTTGGCAATTCTAATTATTCAAGAAATCTTAAAGTTTTTGTACTTCATAATTGCAGGAAAGACTTGGGTGATCGTATTTTCCACCATACATCGAAACTGTTCGATTAGTGGATTCGATGAGTTTAGGCACCTGTATTCTGCCATAGCAAAAGTCCTTTCACCATTTCGTTATTTTGAAACCAGAATTGTGATCGATTTTTAGGGCATTATATACAAACACTTCAACAATCGGTTAAGTGAGTGGCTAGGGAATGTACATACAAATACAAGTTTTGCTCAAGATAAAAGACATTTTCAGGCTAGGTAATGAGTCTATACACGGGTTTTGGATCGAAGTTATCAAGAAAGTGCAATTGTATGATTTTTCCTTAATCTGATATATCCAATATCTTGTGTTTTGGAATATGTCTTCTATTTTGGATTTACATGGACAGGGGCCTATTAGGAGCTACTAATTGGATGTACTTTCACCGGCTTCTCCACATATCATTGGAAAGTCTCACGAGCTACCTGACTATTGGGAAGCATGTCAAAGTTATTAACATAAGCAACAAGTTTTGAAGGGAAATCTTGGTCTCATTTGTTTCGCCTCATTCAAAATGACTTGCTGTCATTCTGGGATATGCTCAAGAAACTATTGGTACCTCCTGCAGAAGTATGGCCTGAGTGCGCTGCATTTTATGTTTTCTTTGATTTGTGCAATACTAGTAATATACATCACAAGGAGGAGTAAGTTATATAGTTATATCCCACCTCTTGTTACATAAGTAAGTTTTAGAGAGAATGTATACCCAATTAATTGAAATTCATTACAATTTTTATAAAAAATCTAAGTACTCTTAGCACTTGAAAATACTTGGATTTTTTTTATAAATATTACAAGAATTTCAAATAGTTGAGCATTCTCTCTCTAAAACTTACTTGTGTAACAAGAGTTGGAATATAGTTATATATCTTACTCCTCATTGTGACGCAGATTACTAGTATTGCACAAATCAAAGAAAGCGGCGCGCTCAAGCCATACTGCTGCAGAAGGTACCAATAGTTTCTTGAGTGTATCCTAGAATGACAACATGTCATTCCGAATGAGACCAAGACTTCCCTTAAAAAATTGTTGCCTATGTTAATAACTTTGACATGCTTCCCAATAGTCAAGTAGCTCATGAGACTTTCCAATGATACGTGGAGAAGCCGGCAAAAGGGCATCCAATTAATAGCTCCTAATAGGCCCAAGTCCATGTAAATCCAAAATAGAAGACATTGAATATGATGAGATTAAGGAAAAATAATGCATACGTCTTGCGCTTTTAAATCCAAAACACAAGATATTGGATATATCAGATTAAGGAAATATCATACCAGTGCACTTTCTTGATAACTTCGTTCCAAAACTCGTGTACACACTCACTACTTAGCATGGAAATTCTTTTATCTAGATCAAAAATGTATCTGTATGTACTTTCCCTAGCCACTCAATCAACAGATTGTCGAAGTGTTCGTATACGATGCCTCAAAAGTCGATCACAGTTCTGGTTTGAAAATGACTGTGGTGAAAGGACTTTGCTGTTGGCAGAATACAGGTTCCTAAACCCGTTGAATCCACTTATCGGAAAGTTTCTATGTATGGTGGAAAATACAATCACCCAAGTCTTTCATGTCATTATGAAATACGAGAACTTTAAGATCTCTTGAATAATTAGAATTTCCACCACCTTAGTTTGCTGGAATTGAGACCGTGTTACTATTGAAGTCCCCACAAGTGAGCTCTTACCAAGCCACTATTGCACCAATTAAGACATCAATGTAAGGGTTTTAGTCGCGCTGTTTGCAAATTCCATTAAAGGCCTCTAACTGGGCATTCATATCCTTTACACGACCATTAATTAACATTCAGTGACTAATTGTTAACAAATCAATGATCATGAAAAATAGAAAATGGATTGCAAATTCAAATCTTGTTTCATAGATAAAAATAAAGAACATTACAAAGTTTTCAAGACGGTTAGATTACATGAAATGAATTCTTGTCAAACATTTATTATGGAGTTACAAGAAGCGTATCTATAAATATCTAATTTAAAAGAAAATAAACCGGCAATGAAAAACTGAGCAGGTGAAGAAGCATAAGAGATGAAGAGTTAATGAAAAGCTAAACAGGTATATTTTTTTCAACTTACATTTTCATGTCTAATACCACTTAATGTCACTTGTCTTTTGCGCTACATTTATGCACACAATTTTATAAGAAACACAAATCCAAAGAGCAAAAGACACAATGTGTAATTTTAGCTTAATTTCAATGTAGATGTACGAATTTTCTCACCTTCCACCCCGTGTCTTGCAATAGATAAACACTTACTATGGTATCAAATTTGCTCCCACTTTCAAAGTTAGTTAAGAGATGGAAAGTTTTTCTCACCTTCCACTCTTTTTGCCATGAGGTCAACTTGAAGGTGGATGTATCAGCTTGAAAGTGGCAGGGGACCCTTGGGTGTGATAGAATACACTGCTCTCCTGGGTAGATTTGAACGGGAGAAACAAAAATTGAGAGGACAGTTTGTGTTCTTCTACCAAGTATGTGACATCACAGAAAGAGACGTTCACTTTATGGTTAAATCACTTGTGATGCAAGGAAATGGATGCAATGCATTTGATGCAAATGGTGAGGTTGTGTATCAGGTCGATAACTATGATAACAAGCACATCGACGAAGTTTATCTCATGGATCTCCGCGGCAATCTTCTCTTGACGGTATGTGAGAACAAATGTGGTTTCCCGAGTTGGAAGGGCTATGGAAGCAATAATAATATTACTGCTCAACCTGATTCTTTTCTTCATTCAATTAACTAAAATGTCTTTGGATTTTGACTGGGAGCATTGTATATTTTCTGCGGCAGACAAGCATGCATGGGTGGGACAAAAGAGAGAGCAACAGGTTGTTAGCAATTGCAGAAATGGCAAATTAGAAGCATCTTATCTGGAGGAGAGATTTACTCGAGGAGAGATTCTAACATGTAACCGACTATATATCTTCCGATTAGTATCACTCTCGAGGCACCATGATGTACTACGTTCTGTTTAATAATCATGACCCAAATTTTATTACAATAATGAAGTACATAACCGACCTAAATACAACCGATGAATTTTAACGAAGACTAGCTAAACGCCGGCCAAAGGAATACGGCATACAATACAGATTGAAGCAGAAAGCAAGAAAGGTAGAAAAAAAATGAAAAAAAATTATATTAATGATATAAAATTGCCATATATATTGGACTGGTAGACCAGAATATTGTTAGCAGAATGCTCAATCTTCATATCAACGAATCAACGAGTTTGCCCTAAGTCTTTCATCTCAAATTCCCGCTTTAGGTGTGAGGTAGTTTTTCTAAAGCTCTTCCAGAGTTCAGTTGAGATTTATGTAAGAAGCGAACGATTGGATAGAAGGCCAAATGAGAGGGAGGAAATATAAGTAGTGAACAAAATGAAGGTGTACATTAACAGAGTATGAAAGGATATTGGACAAATGAGATTTCTTTAATAGAAAACTAGCGAAAAGTAAAAAAAAACTTTAGTTTTAATGAAAAATTATAAATAAAGGTGTAGTGAATAATGCCTAAAAAAGGTAAAAATGTGATTTTTCGTTAAAAGTGAACAGTACTAGGAGTTTCGTTAAAACTCCCTTGTTTAATTGGGTGCTTGGTGAAAATGCTATAAGAGAGAAACGGAGGAGAGTTTTTCAGTTTATTGTGAACACATTCGTATACCAAGTGCCATAGACTCATAATATAAGAAGTTGAATAATAAAAAATAAAAAAAATTCTAACCACTTGTGTGTACCGAACCATATTTTTGACGCATTAGAAAATTTCAAAAGAAAGAAGACTTGGGGCCTATTTATTTGGCTTCACTAAACTTCCTTAGACTAGACTAGATTACACTTTGGTTTAGTCCCGTGTTTATTTCACGTCGACACTATGTTTAATGAGACTCGCCTAAACTAAGACCTAGTTTGGGAGTGAGGTGCTTAAAAAAAAGCACCAATGAAAAAAAGCTGTGAGGATTTTAGGTGTTTGGTAAACTGAAAAAAAAGGCTTATTTTGGAAGCTGCTGTGAGAATAAGCTGAAATCAAAGGAAAAAGCTGAAGCTGCTATTTGCAGCTTTGGAAAACTGGCTTTTTTTCAAAGCACACGGAGCTACAGTGCTCCTTTAATGAAAAGACCCACTATCTGACTGCTTTTCTTTCCAAAAGCACTTTTACAAAAAAGTTTACCAAACGCTCTGCTGATTTATTTCACAGCCGCTTATTCTCACAGCACAGCCGCTTATTCTCACAGCAGTTTTTTTTCAAAGCACGTCAATACCAAACCAGCCCTAAGTCAGACTAAAAGCTTCGTTGAAAAGCCTTAGCGAGGCCCCCACGAAATTGGCCGGACTACTAAGCCAAATATGCTCGCTTCACCCCTCCCTACTTCGTTCCTCCCATCTACATCTTTCTCGTGTCTCAAAATCCTTTTCAAACACAGATCCCGCAAAATTCGAAAAAAAAAGCAAAAAATTTCGAACCCAGAGAACCCAAAATTTGAACTTAGAAAAACTTAGAAACCCAAAAAACCAAAGAAATCCAAAAAAAATCTGCAGTGGGATGATCATGGTTGTTTCAATCACAAATGCACCAAAAAAAACCCAGAGATCCAACCCTTATCTTCCACCTTGAGCCAATCACACAATCACTTCGCCTCCTTCAATCTCTTTCTTGCTCTATGTTTTGATTTTGAGATTTGCTATTGATTTTGTGAGTGGAAGTGAAGAGATAGGAGGGAGAGGTGAAGTAAAGAGGCAGGAGGCGAAGATGAAGTGAAGAGATAGAGGATTTGCAATAAAAAAAATTTCGGTCTGTTCGTCTGATTAATAATGGCTGAGAGGATTTGCAAACGTGAAACATAATTAGGATTTCAAAAAATTAAATAACTACAATATAATTTTTGTTTTTTTAAGGTAAAAGTAAATTAAATATGATAAAAAAATAATTTGGGTCCTAAAAGTATTTTAGTCCATAGTTTAGTTACCAAACATTATTATTTTTATCTTACTTGGTCCAAGTCAAGTCAGTTCAATTTAGACATGGAGGAATTAAGCTCAAAGTAATATGTCGTTTTTTGGTCTATTAAATAAATTTCTTTTATCAATTGACAATTTTTTTTTTTTTAACAATGGATATTATTATACTAAGGAGAGAATGTAGGTTTAACTTATAATAGACGAGTAATAATGTGGTCAAATTCATGTTCGATGAAAATCGAATCTACGACCTATCACAACCTGCAAGGAGCAGATAACAATGGCGGTGGAATGAAGGGGATGGGGGGGAGGGGGGAGAGAGAGAGAGAGAGAGAGAGAGAGAGAGAGAGAGAGTATTTTTGGTATATTGTTTTTAATTCAGATCACCGTTACAATGCTTCTTCCACTATTAGGGGATATATTCCCAATCTCAAACAGAAATTGCCAGCTAGCCATTCACTAATTAAACTAATTAAACCCAATAAAACGACTTAAGTAATACTTAACAGATAACAGACTTATCATTGTGATCAAGTAATGCACAGCCCTAACACTCTGCATCTACTTCTTCCAGCGGTGCTTCACAAACGAAAAACTGGGCTGCCCAGCCGTCCTCCGGTTATATTGTTGTGTATCCGATAAGTGATTTCACCACCATAGCTGCAGTCTTAAAATCACGTTCTGCGTGCCGCGGCTGCCGCATCCCCAAGCTTCTGGGTTAGTGACCTAGTCGATTTCTTCTTCGTAATTCTTGGTTTATCTGTAAAATTGTTGATGTTGTTGGACCAAATTATTGTTGGTTTTTAAATTTCTTGACCAATTTGTTTTCTTGTTACATTGAGTATGGCTTTGTGGTATTTGTCTCCTTGTTGAGGGCATCTATCTGTCTTTTTCCTTTTTCTTCTGGCAATTTGTGGTATTTTGTAATTCTGATGATTTATTCAGTGAATTGAGTATGGCCTTGACATTGCTTCATTCTCTCTAGGTAGTGTCTTGTTCTATCTCTGTTATGATCCCAATTCTGAGATTGCCTTAATCGTAGGACATTGGACAAATTTGCAATAGGGAGTTAATTGGTAGGAGATTTTGGGGCTCTTTTTGTAATAGAGTCTAAATTGGGGGCTGATTTAATAGACTTTTTTTTGTTTTGTTGAGCTGGCAAGGCAGCAAAATGTTGTTATATACCCTTGGATTGTGGCAACGGTCATATATGAAAAAACAATATTCAAATACTTCTTCAATTGTTCTTTTCTTCTCTCTGCAATTCCACCATTGTTGCAGGTCAAGGTTGAACCCAGGTTATTGGGATACTAAGATTGGTATCACCCACGATCTTGGCTCCCTTCCGTGCATGCCCCGCCAAATTGCTGCTACCTGCGCAACCACCATGGATGCTCGAGTTTCTTCCTTGGAAGCTGCTTTTGCTTCCATTCCTGCTCTCATCGCCGAGAATGTGAAGTCCTTTGTGAACGCCGCTGTTGCTACTGCCATGGATTCCTAGCTCTCGGCACAACTCGATCATCATCTTCCCATCTATTTCGAGCAATTTCGACATGAAATCCGATCATCCACCTCTTCGCGATCGGGATCAGATCCAGTTGCCTCAAAGCCTGTTGAAGTGTTGAAGTGTATTTTGGCCTCTAGAGTCAGCTACCATATTCTCTAGGGATAGCTCTAGGCACTAGAGTAATTAGTCTTCTTTCCTTGATTTAAGGGATGTGATTGATTGGTGCAAGTTGTTTTTTGTAAGGTGTAGATTAGGCTAGCTTCTCTTTCTTCCCCCTCTTTCTTCTCATATATATCTGGACCCCTTGTACATTAAACTCATGAAATACATTACAAATTAAAGCCACAATTTCTATAAAGCCCAAATGGGACTGGGGGTGGTCCACCGCCTCGTCCGGTGTGGACTCCTCGCGTTGATTTTCCACATTTCATGGAGGAGGAGCATACTTCATCGATGGTAAATAAAGATGTTCAAGATAGGTCTCTGTTTTTATTCGCGCCTTTTCTGAGTGGTCCACATTGCGCTGCATTCTTTGAAGTACAACTCAAACAACAGGGAGATGATCAAGTGAAAGGAGGAGGAAGAGTCACCCGCGAAACCCCCGTGCTCAAACCTCTTCTCAAGTTATTTGATGGTCCAGAGCAGTCTTATCTCTGTACTGCTGCAAGGATTTTCAGCCACTCCAAGGTATATGTACTTCTAGAGGATGGTCATCGTCCCAGGCCATTGGAGGCTGACACCATTACCAACACCAACACTCCACGTGCGGGGTATGCTTTTGGCCTGAAAACTGGATCATTTGATAAATTCGCTTCCCTAAAATCAATTAAGCCACTTGGTACTCTTCTTTCGGCCCATGGACAACTTTATTATATTGCTTCTCCATGGGGCTTCCCATGGATTCCGGAAGCATGCTTTGAGCGTTATGATCCTGCTCATGATAAATGGGACACACTGCCCTCTTTTCCCTACTATTCTTATCGTTTGGATCGTACGTATAAACTGGTTATGCTGTTTGTTACGGCTGGATTTTGTTTTCGATGCTGGACATGCGTTCCCAGACAGTCCAACTCTTTGGCTATCATGACAAGAAAAATGAATGGTATCCAGTTAAAGGTTCCACTGGTTTCGCTGGGAGGGCCGTGGTTGTAGGCGAGACTCTCTATGCCGTAGCATTGTCTCATAATCTGGTTATAGCATTCTCCTTTGGGAAATGTGGACGGGGTCCTATTGCCTATACACTAAGCCCATCCTTACCATTGAGAGGCCTAAAGACTGCAGATCCACCATCTCCATTTTGTGAGACGACGTCAGTGTGTTTGGTTCATTTGGGTGGCCGTGATTTTTTGTCATGTCCAAACCGGGCAAAGCCTATACCTTGCTGATATCCAACATATTGGTGTCACCACGTTTGAGATTGTTGATGATGGAGAGGAAGGGAACCCTATGATCAATACCTTACATTCAACTGTCTATGCTGTTGATACCTCAGACTTGGATATTTTCGATATTGACTTCGGCTTCGCGACGTAAGTTTTCTTCAAGTTTCTTATGTTTTCATCTATAACTAATCTTAATTCGTCT